GAGTATACAAAATATTTTCATTCAGTAAATCAAAGTCAGTTCCTGCCGATTAGTAAAAAATTAGTTTCCAAAAATTTGTTGAATGAAGTAGACAATTTCACATAAGCAAAACTGAAAGTCCAAAATAATAAACGCTTATTTTTTCAATGATAATTTACACTCAGTAATCTACCATAGTCTTACTAGAGTAACAAATGTATTTGTTTTGTAAAAAATCGTTTATGGAAAATCAATGTCTTCCTTATAGAGAACCTTAAAAGTAATAGTAACTTAATCTTTTTATTATTGATTGATTTTTGGTTGAGTTAATATTTTACTAAGTTGTTTCAAATTTTAAGCATCCATAATGGTTAAAAAGTACTCCGTTAAAAACTACAAAATTTAATGAAAACTTCATTATAATGTAATCCATTAAGTAATTACAATACCACACCACAAATTTTGAATTAAAATAAAATCTCAAAATAATATGTAAAACCTTTAATGCTTCCAAACTCCATTTGGTATCGTTTGAAGTTCATATTTGCCTTTAATTTTACTCTTGATTCCAGGTCACCACATAGACTCGTACGAACCAAGAATACTGGCCAAGCGCGTTTACCGTAAAGTGAAAATTTTTGCAAACAAAATTAAATATCATTTTCAACCAGATTTCACGGTTGCAGGATATTCGTCCTCGGCTGTTGCACAATTTAACACTTTTTGAATGTATTTTCATTTTAATTAGTTTGCTAACAAAGAAATATATTAAATGTAGTTAGCAGATAGTGGATGGTGTGCAACTACAAAATATGTTGTCTGAAATCCGAAATATGTAGCAAGTTTCACATGGCACTGTGTTGTCCTGTTCATACTGGCAAATGTTTACCTTATTAAATAATACAGGAGTAAGGTTAAATAATCATGGAATATGCAGAATTAAAAATAAAAAATTAAATAATAATTCATGCGCCAACATACGAGTAGGAGGACTTGATATTATCAGCGCATATGCTTATGAAAATTATTCATTTTAATTTAAATCATTTTTATTATGCAATCTGATTATGCACAAATAATAATATTTGCATCAACTATATAATATTGTATAAGTAAGTATGTAAACATTAAACATATTTGGGTAATTAAATATTTCCCTTCCCTTACACAACGCGAGTTTTTGAATTAAGTTCATTCACTCGATAAGTCGGAAGCAATGAAGCATTGAATTAATTTAGTGCATTTAAGATGCACTTCTACTTCAAAAAATCATTGAAAACTTTAAAGCGACTTAATTTAATAAAATAAATTTAAAACAACTTTAAAAGTTATTGTATTGATACAAATTTGGTACTTTGGTAATTAGGTTTGCTATGAAGAGGAGCAATTGCATCAAATGAAAGAGTGCATACGATCATAGCAGAACCCTTATCCTATAACTAACCCTAACTGAGCAATAAGCACTTAAATTATTAAAAGAAGTGAAAATGAACATTTTTGACGAATTCCTAATTAGAATCCTCCTTCTGGACCAAATCGAAGCCGAACAGATAAGGAATGTAACTAAATTAAAATCAAAGAAGCAATTTAGAGCACTTACGTTGCACCTTCATTTTATGATATACATATTTTCCAAAACTGGAGAACGAGTTTAAATTTTTGAAAAAGTGTTAAAAAAATATATAAAAGAAGGTGATAAAATTTAGTTATTATATTCACAAAGATAATATCAGCATATTATCAGGAAAAATGGACGAAAACACTGCAGTTATCATAAATCTCTTATGCAAAAACAAACCCTAAACGAGCAATAATGCCTCAGTGTATTAAAA